TTTGCTGAGTACTTTTATGTGGAATAGGTGTTAGTACCTAGGCAGGAAAAGGAAACTACGTAAAGTGAAGAAACAGACAAATGAAAACCCAGGTTGGCTCTCAAAACTCACTGCCATCGAGTCCACTCCACCTCACAGCGACCCTGCAGGGGAGAGCAGAACTGCCCCTGTGGGTGTCCGAGGCTAGATCTTTGCAGGAATGGAGAGTCGGTGGTTTCAAACTGCTGACCTTGAGGTTAACAATTGAGCAAGTAGCCCACTACACCACAAACACTTAGAGCTAGGAGGCAGTGGAGTAGCAGCTGAAACATGAGCTGTGAAATAATTTACACGTGAGACAAAAGGGGATCGTTTTATATATTGAAAGGTGGGGAAATTTTAGCTTTGAAGATATTGCCCTGAAAAATCTTACTTGAGCTGTTATTCCTTTAGTTCATAGTTTCTGGAATTATTTAGCCTACTGCTTCCTTTCCAGAGGAAAAAATTACTCAGTGCCACCTTGGCAAGGAAAAACTTTTGTGCTATCACCCATAATCCAGGATAAAATGTAGGTATCTGCTTTCTGCAGCCCCATTGGTTCATTCTATCGAGCCCCACGGAATAGTATCACCCACTTTGGGAAGCACTGCTTTACTAAACATTTTTAAAAATCAAGCAGAAACTCATAAATTATAATGAGCTAGAAAATTGAGTCGATAAGAAACAAACAAAATACTTTTCACACACACCCCAAAAAAAGAACTTGAAAGAAAATAACAAAAAGAGAAATTTATATACTTAACATAGACAAACTTTGGAAAAGATTTTGTTAGATTTAGGGGGGTAAAAAAGGTTCAGATATATTCTTCCCTGTTAAATTGAGATCCTAGATTTTTTTCCCTTCTTCTTCTTTTTTTTTTCCCCCAAACCATTTTATTGGGAGCTTGTACAGATATCATACCAGTCCATAGTTCAATCACATCAGGCAGTGTTGTGCAATTGGTACTGCAACCAGTTTCAAAACATTTTCTTCCTTTTTGAATTCCTTGATCTCAGCTCCCAAAGATCCTAGATTTCTGTTTAATTAAATCTCCTTTACCCATTTGGAGAATTAGAAAGGTTACACTATACCAATAGAATTATACGGCATATATAATAGAAGGAAAATATGTGATGGGACTTTGGAGACGAAATTGAAAGCTAAAAGTTACACCTTTGCATAGAAAAACAAAGCAAATGGGTTTTTAAAAAAATGAACCTTAAAAAAGAGTAACTTCTTTCCTATTGTTAAAATTTGTCCTGGTGGATATTTTGGGGTGTGGGACAATATTTGTACTTAGATGTATACCTGAAGTATTTAATAGGGAAATATATAAATCTAAGTTGTCTTTTTATATTGCTCATTTAGTCATTTTGTTAAAAAATGCAGTAGTTAAATCTTTGTTGTCATTTGTAGTAAGCAAGCCTTTTTTTTCCTTTGTAGGACGTTAGTTCTCTATCACTGCCATCCACAGACACTTCAGAAGGGAATTTCATAGGTATTATCAATAGAATTTCTCAGAAAGAAGCACTCTCAGTCAATTATGAACCATGTTGTAAGGCCGAATTGAAGGAGTCTGAGGTCAACAGGTGAGATGTGATTTTCCTTCTGTGTTCTTGAATCTCAGCAGTACTCATAAAGCAGCAGCATCTTGATGGCTGCTGTTCCAGAAATATTTATATTCCTTTTCTGTATATTCTGCACGGAAGATTTTATGACTTACAAACAATTGAACATCTTTGCCATGAAAATATTAAAATGCTTAATTGCGCAAGCCTTGATACTCATATCCTATAATTGGTCAAATCGGGGAGATCCTTCATTTCTGCGTTGCATCTGGATGACTTGGTCTATGGGAGATCTGGGAGAGGAGGGGGGCCCTGCTTGAGGTATGTGGTGAACCACTTGGGTCTCTTCCCTCTCCTTATGAAGTTAGTAACTAGCTTTTCCAGTTCTTTAAAGAATGGAGTTGGGATCTGGATAGGAATTGCATTGTATGTGTAGATTGCTTTTAGTAGTATTGACATTTTCACAATATTAAACCTTCCTATCCATGAACAGGAGACGTTCTCCATTCATGCCAGCCGTTTTGCTTTCTCGTTGTAATGTTCTCCGTGTTTTGGTGCGAGTCTTTGGTTTCTCTGGTTAGGTTTATTCCTTTGTATTTCATTTGGGCGTGGTTCTTGTTCTCCTGAATTCGTTCCAGTGCTCTCTTCTTTAGTACCCACAACTGTGATCCATTTTTTTGGTATCTTAATCTTGTATCCTATGTTGCTGAATCTTTTGATTGTTTCCAAAATTTTTTTGAGTCTTTGAGATCTTCTACATATAAAATCAAATCATCTGCAAATAGTGAGAGTTCACTTCTTCTTTCCAAATCTGGATTCCTTTGAGTTGCCGGATTGCTCTGGCTAAAGCTTGGAGCACAGTGTTGAATAAGACAGCAGATGGGAGCATTCTTGGCTGGTTCCCATTCAAAAGGAAAATGCCTTCAGTTTCTCCCCATTGAGCAAGATGTTGACTGTTGTTGTTTTTTGTACATTGTCTTTATTTTATTGAGAAATTTCCCTTCTATTCCTATTTTGCTGAGTACTTTTATGTGGAATAGGTGTTAGAAATTGTCAAATGCCTTTTCTACATCAGTGAATATAATGATATGGTTCTAATCTTTTGATTTGTTTATGGGGTGGATTGCCTTGATTGTTTTCTAATATGAATCATCTTGCATGCCTGGCAGGAGTCTCGTTTGATCATAGTGCACTTCTTGTTGTGTTTGTTGTTGTTGCTGTTGTTGTTGGATTCTATTGGCTTGTATCTTGCTGAGAATCTTCGCATCTATATCCGTGAGGAATGTTGGTCTGCAGTTTTCATCTTGGTAGTGTCTTGGTCTAGTTTTGGTATTTGGGGTTATGTTTGCTTCATAAAATGCCTTCAGGAGTTTGCTGTTTGTTTTCTATATTCTAGAATAATTTCTGCTGAACTGGTGTCAACTCTTCTCCAAGTGCTTGGTAGAATTCTCCAGCATAGCCATCTGGCCCTGGATTCTTTTTGCTGAAAGATTTTTAGTGACCTAATAGATTTCTTTTGTTTTGTGTTTGTTGTGGTTTTCTATATCGACTGTGTTAATTTGGGTAGACAGTGAATTTCTAGAAGTATGTCCATTTCACCTACATTTTCAAATTTGTTGGAGCATATATAGTCTTTCACAGTAAGGTGTTTTTATTTTTGATATTCCATTTAGATGCACTCAATGCCTTTGTACCGGTTCTCTCAACAACACAGTGGGTTGAGAAGTTACATGAAAAATGCCAACTGAGCAATCAGCCAATACTGATTATTTATTCAGACACATTGGTTAGCCATCTTTCTGGAGGTTTAACTGATAAACGTACTATTAAAGTAATGTTGTCTTCAGGCCTGTGTTAGGATGTGAATTCTGCCAGCCATTCGTTAGATTTACTATAGTGATAAGTATTCTCCATCAGTTCCCTTAGGTTTCATTACCGATGCAAAATCGGGCAGAGAACATATGGTATTGGTTCCGGTTCTACTAAACAGGAAGCAAAGCAACTTGCTGCTAAAATTGCATATAATGAAATAAAAGCAGAAAAGAACTTAGCGGTATGTACTACCTTTGGATTTGATTTTTAGGCTGTTAATTTTTTATTCTGAAGTCTCAGTGTCATTGAGTCAATTCTGACTCGTGGTGACCTTCTAGAACAGGGGGGATGGCCCCTATGGGTCTCTGAGACTGTAACTCCCTCGGAGCAGCTGATAGTTTTGGATTGCTGGCCTCACAGTGAGCAGCCCGATGCAAACCCGATATATTTCAGATCATTTCTATCTTCTACAGCTTTAACAGTTTATCGACCCTTCTCATTACTGGTCTTGTACACCCCATTTTTTACCCCTCTCCCTTTTGTGGGATATTATTTTCCTCTTCACCAAATTGACACCTCATTAGGTCTCTACCCTTACGTTCCCCTCCCACTCAGGGTTGTTTCTTAACCCTAGATCAAATACACACACACACACACACACAAATTCACCTTATCATTGTTCGGTGCTGTAAATTTGGGAAGTTTGGGGGAATAAATTTGGGAGCTAGTACACGGAGCCTGAGCCAATGTGGAAAATTAATATTGTTCCATTTCAATCTCCAGAAAACTGACTCGCTGTCCTCGGGTTGTGACCTGAATGCGTCCAGTTGCTCCAATAGTTTTTCTTCTCTGGCCAGCTCCTTGTAAGTGTGCATCAGCGTCTGTGATTTGAAGCACACCCAAGTGCCTTCCCGGGACCATTTTCAATCAAATGTTCCATGTTTAAGGAGAAGGTAGAAAAAGAAATGTCTGATTCATATACCAACATGGACAAAATTCATCGCCTAATAGCAATCTCCTTTTCTTCTAGCACCTCAGATTCACCATTCGAAAATGGAATATCAACAAATGGATCAGAACAAAAGCATAGCAGTGACAGTTTTAAAGCCCAAGCTTCATCTTCTTTGGTATAGTATCCGTCTCTGACCTCCCTACGCAGTCTTCCTTTGCATTTCCTCCTTCTGAAATGCTCTGCAGGACCCAATCATAATTTCATCTTTGGATCCCCAGTACCCAAGCATGATTTTCATATTTTTGCCATTCTTCCTAAGGAGCAGTATTTAGCGGCCTTCTGATCATTTCTTGTCAAGGGCCCCCCTCTTTCTCGCTGACCATCAACTCACTTTATAGTAATCAGGAAAATGACACACGAACAAATCAGATGCCATTTCTAAACCATCCTTTTGAATCTTAAAAGGAAACAATTTGGCAGTTTCTCAGAAAGATCAACATTGATCTAGAAGACCCTGCGATTCCTAGTTCTAGACCCGAAAGAAATGAAAGCCGGGACTCAGAGAAATACTTGAACACCCATGTCATGGCAGCCCTCTTCATAGTAACCAAATGGTGGAAACAACCCGCATGCCCACTGACATGTGAGCGGATAAGGAAAATGTGATATAGTCATACAGTGAAATATGGATAGAATCACAAAGAGAAATAAAGTTCTGATCCATGCACGATCAACCCTAAAAACAGAATGCTGAGTGAAGTAAGGCAGACACAAAAGGACAAATACTGTGTGATCCCACTTACATAAAATAGCTGGGGTAGGCATGTGAGTTGATAAAAGTTTATGGTGGTTACCAGGGACTGAGAGGCGAGAACAATTGGAACTCACTGTCCATGGTACTGATAGCCTTCTATAGGGCTGATGAAAAAATTCATAATAGGTAGTGAATGTAATTGCTATCTCTGAACTGTACCCTAAAAATGGCTCAAGGGGCAAACTTTATATCATATATGTTTTAGAACAATAGCATAAAACAATATTAATGTATGTCTTGCCATACCAGTGATTGCCCTGGTACCCTGCTGGTGGAAGTACAAATTGGTGCAACCACTTTGGAGGACAATTTGACACTATGTGCTGAAGTTGAGGGTGTGCATGTCATCGAGCTGAGCAGTCCCATTTCTAGCGTCTTCTTGAAACCCTTGCATGTGTGGAAAAGACAACGTGTAGAAGAATGTTCTTTGTCTCGTTGTTGCACGCTTTTCTATTGTTATAGGAGAAACCATGAAAACACGTGGTCTATTAAGAGGATAATGTCTAAATTAACCATACGATGAGGGGCCTTCAAAAATCGATGGAAAAATGAAAGGCATATAGAATAGAGTTCCTCCAGGTACTTTGTGAAATCCCCTCATGGAGTTGTGATGCACTACTGAAGTAGGTAGGCTGTAAGAGCCAAGGACATTGTAGCTGTCTTCTCCAGCCAACATGCTTGAATTATGGAAAAGCCCCAATGCCTACCAGAACTCAAAGGAATGAATATAAGTGAAGAACAGTTAGGTGAAATGAATGACAAGGCCTTATTCTTTTTTAGGGCTATGAATAAAAGCCCTCCTCCCTTTTGTATTAAATAGTAAAATTAAATGATTCATTGGTGCTAGAAAAAAAAATCAAAATTCCACTATTGCTGTTTTCACCTGGCCATCAAGGCATAAACCGCTAATGAGTTATGACCAGCCGGATCCGTGTCTTCATGAGCTCTGTGGGTGATTCCGATGCACACTCTTCTGAGAGCCTCTGGCCCTTTGGATCACTGGATCCTCACAGACTGTACACTTCCTGGAGAACCAGTGCTTCACTAGAAGTGGTCCTTCAATTCCCATTAAAAAAAAAAAAGGTCTTTCCTGCCATGTCTGCCAGTTTTTCTAATAGATGAGAACATTGCCAAGTAGCCCGAGAAGCCGGATTGATGAAGCTGTTCATCTTACGTGCAAAGACATGTGCTTAGAGAACCAGCTTGAAGTTAAAGAAGGCAACTTCCTTAGAGAACTGATTAGATTGGTTTGATCACCTGAAACTAAAATGTCCTTTCTCTTTTGCTATAGAGCAGTGGCCGAAATCTCCAAAGGCAGGTCAAGAGGTGAGTAGTATTATGCACGGAATGTATTTTGAAGTGAGGTTTCACGTCAGGCTTGTCCTGTCAATCTTATTTATTAAGGTTTCAGTATTTGTACAATACCACGTGCTCTCTTTTCTAAAAATGGTTTCCATCTACTCTTATTTGACTGGAATTTCAGAGTAAGTAGAGAACATGGTTGAGGCTCACAGAAAGCTAAAGCTTGACAAATAATATTAGATATGTGGAGAAATCTTTGGATGCACACATGTACTTCACTGTAGACATGAAACACTGTGAGTATTGCTAGCGTAATTGGTCAAGGGCATCCAATGGATAAAGCCAAAAAGACCAAACTCCCTGCCATTGAGTCAATGCCGACTCATAGCAACCCTATCGGACAGGTGGATAAGACAGAGGATGTGAGCTGAGAGCTATGCGACAGAGAAGTATGGGCAAAATCAGTGCACTGTCTTGCAGACAAATAAGTTGGGTAGAAATGGCATAATAACTTGGGTTTTTTAAAGGAAGACCAAATATTATTCAAGTTAATGGCAAGTTGGTTTTATAGCTGAAGAGAAAAGCAAGCCTGCAGACAGTTAGCAATGAGTGTGAGATGGCAGGAGGCGCCCTTCTGAGCCACCACCGGTATGTCTGAACAGCAGGTAGACACGGTGAAGAAGCATGATGGTTATTGTGTGATCAGTGGTGGAAAGAAGAGAGAGCTGTATGTCAGAGGGCCCTACCCTCAGTCCTTGCTACTGTGGCGATGAAATGGAACAAAGAGAATTTGGAAGAGAGACTGCAAAGAATGAGTAGGCATGACCTGAGGAGGTAGAGTTAACGGTCTTTGGGTGAGAGAGGGAAGGGGGTAAAGAAAGATGTGTGGTTACAGGGGCGATGACAATAGGGGTATATTCAACTTAGTCAGTGGTCCAACCGATATTTACAGGTAGCTCACTGCCAATAGGTAATGAATTACGAAGGAACTGCGACGAAAAGAATGGTGTAAGGACCTGGACATCGTCAGGTGCTGAGTCTGTGGGGAGACAAGGGGCACACCAACCATGATGAGTTAGGGAGGGGGGAAAGCACCAGAAAGGAAGGAGAAGGATTAGAGCCCAGAGGAGAATCACGGTGTATGGGCTCAGAAAGAAAAGAATGATCTGCCTGGGTTCGAGGCCGCGTCGGGGACACAGATAGCTGGGGCTTGCCTACTACTAAAGGTAGTAGTTGGAAGACAGGCGTCTTCCGTAATGATGAGCCAAGAACACCCCTTGTAGTGGTTCTCCTCTGTAGGAACACAGGGGGTGGCCCTGAGTTGGAATGTACCCATAGCAGTGGCTCTGTCATGTTGTAGTCTGTTTTCCTGATAACCTGGGTGATGCACAGTCATCGTGCTCAGCTGCTAACCTGCATTTTAGCTCCCAGAAAGGCCTTGGGTGCAATGCCCAGTGATCTACTTCTGAAGAAATCAGCCACGAGAAAAGCTGACAGAGCACAATTCTACTCTGACTCACAGAGAGTGGCCATGGGTTGAACTCAGCTCAATGGCAAGTGGATCCGAAACAGGTCATTCCAATAAAACCCATTGACCTCTCATCTATTCTGACTCACAGTGGCCCTATCTTGACCCTAAAGGACACAGTAAGAACTGGACCCGAGGGTTTCCAAGGCAGAAGCAGACTGCCACATTTTTCTTCTGCAGAGCAGCTGCTGTGCTTGAACCACTGACCTTTAGATTAGAAGCCAAGCAGTTAGCTACTACACCACAAGGCTAATTGTCGATTCAAAATATAACAGACCAAATGCAAGGCATATTGTTGTCCTTGTTATTAGCAGTGCTGTCGAGAAGATTCGGCAGAGCGGAAGGATGGCTCTGTAGGCTATGACCTCTTTGAAGCAGGTCACCGGGCCTGTCTTCGAAGGCACCTCTGTAGGGGTTCAGACCTACGCCTTTCAGCTAGTCGAGCTGTGCTTCATTTCAGTGTTATTTGAGTTTTACCTTCTTTGCTTATTTTTTTTTAGAAATTTGGCACCTGTATTTAATTTCTTCAAGGCAGAAGCAAAGAAGTATACTGTTGACTCCAGGTAAGAGGGTCTATAAAATAAAATGTATATAAAAAATATTTAAAGATATGGCAAAAGTTTCTAAGGCTCTATTGTATATGCAGCCACTGCCATCGAGTCATTGCCCTGTCAAGTGATTCTAACTCCAAACCCCTCTTAAAAACCCCAAACTTCCTGCCACGGAGCCAACGCTGACTCATAGTGACCCCCGTGGGTTTCTGAGACAGTAACTGTTTACAGGAATAGAAAGTCCAGTCGTTCTCACGTGAGGTTGCTGGTGGTTTCAAACTGATGACCATGTGGATCGCAGTCCAACACGTAACCACTACACCACCTTAGGCTGGTTCAATGATATTTCCACTGGAGCCATGAAAAAGTGCTTTCTTTTAGAACAGTGAGGCTTGTTAGGTGCCATGGAGGCAGTTACAACTCATTGTGACCTTAGGTACAATAAAAAGCCACCATCCTTAAAATTGTTGATACATTTCCGGTCCATTGTTGCAACTGCTTGTTGCAACCATCTTGTTGAGGGTCTTCCTCTTGCCTAAATGGAGGGTGGTAAATGCAGATCTATGACGCTTATGTGGATTTCAATGACATCTCTGAAAGTTTCTAAAACTAAAAATAAACACATTGTGAACCAGTGGTTTCCAAAATAGATATGTGACGAGCAATCTCAGAGCGTGAGAGGGAGGTGGAAGGTACAGAGAAAACCTATATGGAACAGGGTTGGGCATTCAGTGCAAGTTTTAAAAGCAGTAAAGAATCAAATGTTTATTAAGCATCTAATACATGCCTGGTGCTATGGTAGGCATTGGGGTTACAGCTGGAATGTATGGAGACACTTCCTGCTCTGTGGAGTTTTTTTGCAAGAACAGCTCCCATTACGCAAGCAACGACATGACTGATTTGTTGGTTGGGCTGTGAAGGACCAGTAAAGGGATGGTAAGAAATTGAAACAAGACAGACCCCTGGATTTTGAACGAGGGGTGAGACAAGATTTCTCTAGGGTTGATTTGTGGGGAAGGCTGGGGAAGAGTTACTGCAGTAAAGTGAGGAGGGTGGGTGGTAAGGCAAAGGAAGGGCACGAGGGGGAGAGTTAATAGTGGAAAAACCCACTGGCTATTAAAGAAGCAGAGAGAAGGCTGTGTGCCGGGAGTGTAGTGAGCACCTGAGGGGAGGCTCGGTCGAAGTCTTGCGTTATCTTGAAGCATTTTCTTGCTAATTGTAAAGGCAAGTTATTGGGAGATATTGATAACAGAGTGACATGACCAGACTAAGTTTGTGGGCTTTGGGTCTTTAAAAAAGGAACTCTACTTGCTCTGTAGATCATGGATTGGCAGGAGAAGTGGGGTGTCCAGTTAGGATGGTAAAGCAGGAGCTGGTGGTAGAAGGTTGGATGGGCGAGCTGTTGGCAATGGGGAAGAGTGGACATATCACAGAGAGGTGCTTCGAAGTAAGAATTGACAGGGCTTCATATGGAGTGTGGGGTGTGAAGGGAAGGGGGAAAATGAGGTAGTTGTAAACCTTTAAAAAATAGTCACTGCCATTGATTTGAATACAACTCTTAGCAACCAAATAGGACAGGGTAGAACTGCCCCTGTGGATTTCCAAGACTAATTCTTTTTTTGTATATTTGTTTTTTATTTTTATTTTGTTTTAATCATTTTATTTGGGGCTCATGCAACTCTTATCACAATCCATACATCCATCGATTGTGTCAAGCACATTTGTACATTTGTTGTCATCATAATTCTCAAAA